ATATAAAATTATTTTAAATTATAATAAAATTTTAAAAATTTTCATTTTTTGGGTGTTTTTGAGGTCACTCGTTACCTCGAAAAATGTGAAAAATTTGACTATCTCAGAATTTGACGACAATTATCTGAATAACTAGATTTCGTGAGAAAAATCCAACCGTGAGATCCATTTCATCATCCGATCTCTAGAGAAATATGAATTTTCAACTCGCACTGCAGTGATAAATTACCATTTTATCCTTTTTAAGAAAAAATTAAATTTTACCCAGGTTTTACAAATAGAAAATAACGTTTAGTTTAAGAAAATATATTAGGAACATAAATAACATAGAAGAATGATATAAAATTAAAAACACTACTATAAACTCGAATCATACAAATTCAATAGTCAAGTTGTATCTTTTGAAAGTCGGTTGAATTTTTTATAGTTATATTTGCTCATTTGACAACATCTACAGACTTAGTTTATTTGTGGGAGTATTTTTTTTAATTTTCATTCTATTAGTTATAAAATTTAGTTATTATTTAGATAAAGTTGATTATAAATGTTAAAATCGTGGATTTTGAATCAAAAATAGAACATTGAATATTGTCAACTGATATAATTTTTAGATGTTTGAATATTATGTTTCAATAGTTATAACATAATTTTTGTGGCGTAATAATTAACATAATTTTGCATGTAGGTTGATGTTATAAAAAATATTAGCGGACTCATTTTGTTCATCGTTTATTACAATGTTGTATTTTACTTTACATTTATGTATGAGCAAATATTTGTAACTAATTGATGACTAACACCGTGTCTTCAGGCACGGACAATTGCTAGTATATATATATATATATATATATATATATATTACTACAAAATCACATTATGAAGCTTAGTTTCTATTTCTCCTACACTACTTTTTATGAAATTAAAGTGTTTCAATATAGTGTACCAAAATAGTACAGGAGTAATAGAAACTAGTATCTAAGAATTGTACAAATTTAAAATTTATCAAAACAGTGTAGGAATAATAGAAATTAGGCTTCATAGTGTGACTTCATAGTATTATATGTATATAATAGTGATATCCCGTGACTGAAGTCACTATATACTATCCTATGACACTATACGTGTAAAGGAGTGTGGATATAATGTGTGTGTAGTTGTGCGTTGTGTTTGTTAAATTTTTTTTTTGGGGCGGGGGGTGGGGGGTGGGGGGGGGGGAGNGTGGGGGGTGTGGGGTGGGGAGTGTGTGTTCATTGTGTAAAATTTAGGGGGGAAAATATACCTTATAAGTTCAAAAACCTATCTCCCTTATTATATTACACACTTATATAGGTGACCAAATTAAATCTAAAATCAAAATTCTTTGATTTTAGTTCTATCTAAGATAATTAAAATTCCTTAATATTAGTTTTCAAATTTCAAAATTTCCAAAAACTATGAAACATATCCTTAAAAAAATGAAGATGATTTATTAAGAGTTTTGATTTTCCTAAATTTTAGTTTTTGTTTTATTAGAATTTATATATATATATGTGTGTGTGTGTGTGTGTGTGTGTGTGTGTTGGTTGGGGCTTTCTAAAATCTTATGTAGGAAACTTATTTAAAATAAAAGGGTATTCAAATCTTTCTATGTCTCAAGTGAACTTTTTATAAAACATTTTTGCCAATGTACTTTTTGACAATTAACTCCAATTTCATGTACCAGCTTCCAAAGGTCCTTAAAAACATTGAACATACATATATACACAAAGAAAATTATATATTGGGTCGGACAACGTGCATGCCCCAAATAGTTAGCCCATGCCTTTATCTTTTTTTGGTTGGAGTGACCATCCAATCCATGACCATCCCCATCAGTAAACTACAATGAATTTACCAATAAATTATTTTGAACTTAACAAAAAAATTGATGAATGTATGAGGGAAAAGATCTCTTACCTTGAATCGAGGCTGTCAAAAAGACTCGTGTATGATTTTGAAATAAATGATCAAACGTGCACCTCATTCTTGTAAAATGAACAAATTGCAGGACATTGGGGGTTGTTCGATTGGAGGCACTATGATGCTTAAGTCAATAAGGGTCTAAAAATAATCAAGCAAATTTGCAAGGAAAAAAGTGCGTACCTTAGACTTAAGTATTGCCTAGCATTTTATAGTGTGCTTATCCCTCTTTTAAGGTTTCATTATTGCTCGTACAATATGACATACTTATTTTTTAGCCAACTCTTTAGTAATCTATGTTGGAATATTTTTAGGCTTCATTTCTAATTCACATATTATTTAGGCCACATTTATAATGTTCACAAATGATTTAGACAACTTCCCTATCGTTTACACTGCCTCTTATTACTCGGGATAATCAAGCTATCCCTTGCTTTGGCCTCATCCTTAGTGAAGGTTGTGTTTATAATAAACACCAACTCTTACTCATTGATTGGTTTCACCAACTACTCGGTTCCCTTGTTAACTGAATGCCTTCGTCATTTGCTCATCTAGGTTCTAAACTTGTTCGGTTGGTTGAAATATAGCTCGGTTAGTCGAACCACTGCACGAGCAGAGGTACTTTGCCTATTAGTGCTTCACTTTTCTTCACGTGATATTTGACACGTGATTTTTTCATCACGTGGCTTATGACTTATGTACTAATTAAATGGTCTAATTATACATTGTCATTTTGAGCCCTTTTACTTGCCCCCATATAATTTCTGCCACGTGGTACATGCTGGCTTCCATTATCTATTGTAATCATTCTTTCATTTAATGGTTGACATCATTTCTTATGAAGAGGCATGACTTGATCTTAAATGTGTACACCCAAGTGCAGGCGGTCATGCTGTAGTAATAATTCGGTGAAGTCCAGAGTCGAATCCACAGGGAACTATGATTGGTGTTTTTGAAGTAAGTAGTAACAGAGACCAAGTGACTTTGGAAATTTTGAGTGTTAGGGTTTTCTTAATTAGAATAGAAGATTCTTTTCAAGATTTTTCTAGACAAAATATAAGATTCTCAAAATGAAACAGCCACCCTTTAGCTCAAGGATCAGGACATGTAATAGGGTATCCATTTTGTTATGTTTGTGCTTTATAACTCAATTAACTGTCCTGTTAACAGCAAGTTAATCGGAAGATAAAGATGGACTGTGAGAATTAAGCACATGATTCCGATGCCTTTCTAGAAGTTTACAAGAATTGTCTGTGCCAAGACTTAACCCGTCTACAAACAAGCAAGTGTTTCTACAACGCATCCAACCATGGAATTAATGATCCATTCTTTGAATAAAGCGCAATGATAGTGGGGATTGAAAGGTTGTGATGAAGAGCTAGCCGGGGTACTTGCATTGAACCAATGGATCTTTCTATGCAAGAGTCATCCGTATCATAGATGGAACCCTGGTTATACAAAGGACCTCGATCTTTGCTAGATACATTCAATCACCCAATTAACAGGTGGAGTATAAACCATTAAAGCATGAAGAAGATGCACAAACATAACTGTTGGATACTCTTTACATATTCATCCCCTCTTACTAAAGAGTGAATGAGGAACTACTCACTTTTCATGGCCTTGGCAAAGCTAGAAGAGTGAGTGCTACTCATCCCTCTAAATAAAGAAGCTACTAACTAAGGCAAACTAAACAAAGAGCTTTCCTTCAATGAAGAATAAGTAAATCACTTTCCACCCTTCACAGCTTTGGTAAAGCTCTAGAAAAGTGGAAGAGTTTCACTCTTCTAAGAAAGAAGGGTGCTCAAGCAATGGAAGTGAAATACATGAACAATAAAAGTAGAAGAAAGCTAGTTGACTTTTGGAGGGTTTGCACCATAACCAAAAGATGAACTACCTCTCTTGATACTTTGTAAGTAAAAGCAAGTACAACTACAAGGGGAGTCTAAGCCTCCATCATGGTTGTCACAACATGAATGTAAAGACTTAGCATAAGTAAATGAAAGACTTTAACTACAAGGGGAGTCTAAGCCTCCAACATGGTTGATATAAATGGAAAATGAAAGCATCAACATGAAATATTCAAGAACTAGATTACTAAAACACTCTTACTTTACAAGAATAAAGATTGCTCCCTCCTTTCTCTCCAAGAGGAAGAATGCCTTTTAAGCTCCCAACAAGGGAGTATTTATAGGCATGGAAGGGGAAGGGGGGTAGGAGATAGGTGGGGATGAGTGAATAGTATTTGCCACCCATGGGAATCAACTATTCTACAAGCAGTCTATAGGGGGACGTTCGAACGTGATCTGGTGTTCGAACGTTAAGTCTGCCTTTGCTTTGAGGGCGTTCGAACGACAAGTCTGCCTTTGCTTTGAGGGCATTTGAACGTGAGATGATGTTTGATTTCTTCCACTCAAGTGGCCTATGGTCAATGACTTGGTCACTTCGATACGCCTTGACCATCATTGACTGTACACTCAACAACTCCTTAGTCACTCAAGAAAACGTTCGAACGTGGAGTGACATTCGAATGTTGTACTCAAGTACTTTTGGTTCTTCTCTTTTTGTTGACTACAACACGCCATGTCTCAGCAGCTAGTCTTGGCAGGTTTTTAGATGACATTCGAACGTGGGTTGAAGTTCGAACGTCCTTGCTTTGTTCCAACCTTCTGCATTTTTGCTCCCTTTTGTGCTGGTGTTACATTCAAGTGTGATTTTTGTTGTTCTTGGGCCTTTGTTCACTTTAGGACCTGAAATGTCATTACTTAAACTCCATCAAAGCAAAATTAGTCCAAAAAGGCATAGTAAAATTTGTTAACTTTATGCACGAATCAAGGCACTCTACACATCTCTTATGTTATAGGGAACAATTTTTTGCATTTTATATTTGTGTCTTTTCATCTTCAAGTGCTATCTATTGCCACCTTTCCCTATCTTTTAAATGGTCTTTTTCCGTGCCTTTCCCTTCCACAATTTCTTCCTTTTGTGCTTCTTCTCGAAGATTTTGTAAATATCAACAAAACTCTTCTTCTAGTCGTCATGCTACTTTCCTCCTTTCTACCATGGCTCCTCTTATAGAAGAAAACATTTCTGCCTTTGAAGCCACCTATGGCATCCTTGATGATGTCAAGCTTAGGGTGGCTAAGCCTAATGAGGCTCTTCCCTTTCTTAGGGTACTCTCTCTCCTTAAACTTTTCCCCCTCTAGTGCAGCCCTAACGTCTTCAAGAGGGTGATGGGGGTAGTTGCAGTGAATAATCTCATAAGGAACAATATGGGTCTTTGGGAGATTATCTATTGCTAATTCATCAAATATACTGATGATGACAAGTACTACTCTATGGTCAAGAACAAGTGTCATTACCTTTTTACCCATCTCTTAGATCCAAACAAAGGACATGAGAAAGATATTGTGTTTATTTTTTGAAACTAGGAGCTCAAAGTTGGCAAATATCCTATCTGCAAATGTCTTTATGATGGGAGTGCTCTAGGTATTTCTTTGGTAGAGGTTCTGATTTGATTTCTTTTTACTTGTGCCTTATCTTGTTTTTATTCTTAGTTGAAGATTTTAAGGGTAGGATCTTAGAGAGGTGGGTGAACTTGGAGGACTTGGAAAAGGTGTAGGCCTTTAATGACAATCTATTTTGCTGAGTTGTCCATGTTTTGCTCAACTATTCTCCCAACTATCAATCTTTTCCTATGGTTCTTGATAGGCCCAATGGTCACCTAGCTAAGGACATAGATTCGCTTAAGGCTCACTAGGATTCTACCCATTGATTCAATAAGCACTCTCGTCCTCAATCCTTCTAATGCCTTTCCTTTAACTATTACTTTGCTTGATGCCTTTTTTTGTCAAACCAACCATTGTCCTCTAAGATTTTTGTCTCAAAATGAATCTTCTTGTCCAACTATTGTTGAGCCCGATTTGATCCTTCCACCAGATGATGATGAGCCAGTTGTTGTCTCCCAAGTTAATTAGTCCAAAGATTCCAATCCTCAAAGTTCTAAAGCTCCTACGACTCCCTCTTTTATTCCTATTGAGAAATATCCTTTGGGAGACAAGGTCACTTTTGAATCTATTGGGTGATGTAAACATGTTGCCAAGGTTAGGAAGATTGGGGAGGTTAGCCAATCTGACCTATTTGTAGGTTTTGAGGTAGGAGTCTTCCATAGTGTCCCAAGGGATGACTCCACAATAATGGATCTAAATGTTATGAGAATTGCAAGAGGAGTGATTCTTCCTCCTAACCTAATTGTTATTGAAAATATGACAACAAGGTTACTTGAAATTCCATCCAGCAGATGGTGATGGTATGTTATCTATTTTTATTTTGTATTTATTGCCTTTTTTTTAAGTTTTTATTCCTTTGTAGCATATCTAGTGAGTCCATGAAGTCAGGGCTCTGATCATGCAAATGGATTAGACCATGAAAAAGGCCATATATGATCAAATGGCCACATTGGAGCAAAATAAGAGTCTAGATGTAGAGGTTTCATAGGTCTATGAAGATGTGATTACCCTTCGGGCTTAAATGGATGAACTGGAGGAGGAGAATGATTGCCTCAGCTTGCGATGTGAGGCTTTGGAGTGTTCAAAGGCAGCAACTTTGAAGGAGCTATCCCAAACTCAAAAAGAGCGTGTATGCCTTCTTGAAGAGTTTGAGACTTTCAAGATTGAGTCCAAAGCTTGGGATTCAGAGTTGTATGAGAATGGGAGAGAAAAGGCTGAGAAAGAACTTGGTGAACAAGTCCCGAAGATTTAGAAGACCTACTTCAAGCAAGGCTGGGATGCTGCTCTCCTTGTTGTTGGACTTCCTTCATCTTTCGAGCTCTATTCTCATCATTCAGTTGTCTGTCCAAGCACCCAACCTGTTGGTGGTGCTTCTACGCCTATTGCTCCAACACCCAATCTCCCATGAATCTTGGCCTCTATGAAGGGGTAGGGCTTTTCACACTTGAAAAGAATTTAGACTAGTGTCCCTTTCCCATGGCAAAGAGGGTCAACCTTAATAAATGGTTAAGGCCTTTCTAACTTATATAATTTTGAATGGTATCTCTTTCCCCAAGCAAAGGGGCTCAGCTTCAACGAAGGGCTAGGGCCTTTCATACTTAGAAAATTTTGAATAGTGCTTACTTCCCCTAATGAAGAAGCTCAATCTCAATGAAGGGCTAGGGTCTTTCATATTTAAAAATTTTGAATAGTTCCTGTACCCCCATCCCCAAGGAAAGTGGCTTGACCTCAATGAAGAGCTAGGATCTTTCATACTTAGAAATTTTTAATGGTGCCCCATTCCCCTAGCAAAAAGGCTCGGTCTTAGAAAATTCTTTGGTCATGGACCCCATCCCTTCACAAAGAGGACTCGACAAGGGTTTGAGCCTCTATTCTTGATCACATATTGTGACCCTTGCATTGACTCGCCATTCTAATCGATCTCAAATCTTTACACATTTAGCTGGCACCATCATACCTAACCATGGGCCTAAGTTTGTTTGGATAGTTCATCCTGAGCTAGGTCCGTACCTCTATCAGAATTTTTTTCACCCTACCTTAGCAATATGTTGAATTGTGCCTTGGAATTCTTGGGTCTTTTACCCAGACTTTCACTCTTAGGAATTTTTCTTTTGCCATGGAAAAAGCTTGTTTCATGATTCATGTTCGGCCTTTCCCTGTAAAGTTTCCTATCAAAAGAACTTTACAAAGGTACGTTGTAACAAATGAAATTTCTTTATGGAAGTCAAAATTGCTTTACAATTTCTCAATTAAGAATTCCTAACTAAACAATCCTGAAGGCATTTCAAGTGGATATTATTTCATTTCTAGCAGCACTCCAAGGTTTACCACATTCAAAAGTAATAATTTCGGAGCTTTACGACATTCCAAGGTCATGGAATTGGCTTTCCATAAAGTGTTTTAAGTTTATAGGATCGGGTCCCTACAAAATACTTCACCCTATATGACCCTTTCTAATTAGCACTAAGCTTCCATAAAGTGTTTCAAGCTTATAGGATCTGGTCCCTACAAAAGACTTCACCTTATATGACCCTTTCTAATTAGCACTGCCCATCGTGAGATCTTTCATGGTTGCTATGACCTTTCTAAGGACTAGGTCCCAGTACAGAGATCCCTTTGGTGGGACCTTACTATCATGTGCTCAATCCATCTGTTGTTGATAAGATGTCATTGTTATAGCTACTAGGCCTATAACTCCTTTCTTTATTTTGCTAAGTCTATGCTTTTGGTGATCAACTCCTAATTTTTTTAACATTATCTATGAGTTCTGACCTAAGGGTTGGGGAGTCACAATTTCTAGGGGAGTGACCACTTTAATTCCACAAGCTAACGTGTAAATGGTTTCCCCTGTTCCTCGACATGATGTGGTTTGGTATGTCCATAGCATGCTGGGCAATTCCTCTCTCCATTTGACCTTAGCTTTTCCAAACCTCTTCTTAATTCCATCTAATGTTGTTTTATTGAAGATCTCTACTTGGGCATTAGCTGTGGGTAGGCTGTCAGAGATCAATGCTAAAGGAATGTCGAATCTTGTTATACATTACCTTTGAGGAGCTTCCCTAGTCAATTAGGATCCTTCTCACATTGAACTTTGCCATCCTCAAGGTTAAGATCAATGCATCATTATAGGGGTGATGAATCCCCTCTTGGTCATTGTCAAAAAACCTGATCTGTCCATCCAACTGATCAATTCTAGGCTTTTTGCTAATCTGCTTAGTCGAGGGTTTGACCTGGCAGATTTCTTTGATTTTGGCAGCCTTCTTACTTAATTTTTTTTTTTGGCCAGCCTTTATTTTAGTTTTTTCCTCATCAATGGACTGAGAAAGGTATCCTGTCGAAACAAACGCCTCTAAATACTGCTTTAGAGAATGAAAATTCTCCGTTATATGCCTAGTGTCATGGTGGTAAAAGAATCAAAGGTTGGGGTTTGTAATCTCTAGAACCCTGCCTAATTTGTAAAGCCGCCTAAATTAGGGTTTCCTCTTAATTTGAGACAATGTTTTGTAAATTGGTTCTTTGAATATAGTGTTGACTCTGGATAATGATGAATGAGGTAGGAAGCGTTCTTTCTATTTTCCCTTGGTGGCCGAGCGTGGCTGGTCTTCCCTATCTTTACCATTTTGTTTCCTACTCAGTTGGTGCCGATGGATCTCCCTATCAAGCTAATTTTCTACCTTTGCATACTTTTTGATCATGGCAATCAATTCCTCCATGTCGATGGCTTGGTGACTATTTAAGGACTAGGACAAGAAGTTATGTTTGGGTAACCTAATTTTAAGCGATGTCATCGTAATTTATGGGTTATAACTCTCTATCTCGTTAATGTTTTCCCAATAGCGATGATCATATTCATGTAGTGTCTCACCATAGTAGTCTTTTAGTGGTCGAACTCATTAGGGGCCTCACCGTCCTATAATCTCTGCAAGGCATCTCTCAATACCTCATCTCCTGTCTAAACTTTTCCTCCTCCTCTAGGGAACATGATATCATAGGTGTCAATTTACGAGGATTATACTTTCTAGAGGTTGTATTTTCTAGATCTGCTCATTCTTCATTCGTATTGCCAACGATACTGACCTTTACGTTTGTATTCGAGGGTAGGGACATCTAGCAGTTCCATCTTGGGTTGTACTCATTGAATTCTTAGTTGTTGTGTGGTGATCCTAACATACTTCGTAGGGTTAACATGACTAATTTTATTCAGTTTCCAATAAATGAAACCAATTTTACAAGGGATAAATTTTGAACCACGAATCGAGGGAGTCAGAAAAATATCAAAATGATGAATTTTGATTAGACAAAGCAAGTGCATCTGGAAAACTTTAGATCAATGAATTGGAAGAACTGAGAAGTGAAGTATATGAAAATACAAAAATTGCCAAATCCATATTGAAAATTTTTTATGAGAAAAATATTATGCGAAAATCCTTTGTACCATCTCAAAAAGTCATGTTATATAACTCAAGGCTCCACCTATTCCTTGAAAAGTTAAGATCAAGGTGGACAGGTCCATACACTATCAAACAAGTGTTTAAACATGGGGCAATTGAAATTGAAAATCCGTAAGTGAAAATATTTTCAAAGTAAATGGTCAAAGGCTTAAGCCATATTATGATGGATTAATTCAAAACAAGGGTTCATGGAACTACAGTATGTGTCTTGAGAAGTTATTATGTATATTTGATTGTAAATAGTAGTACTAACTGTTTTGTTGATTATTTTGTAGATTAGGATTTTGCATAATGGATTTGTCTCATCTCCAGACCTTATTAGCAATTGTATTTAAATCTTACCTTATAATGTTAAACATTGAGGACAATGTTAAATTTAAGTTATGGGGAGGGAACAATCCATAATCTTATTGGTGATTAGTAGACATTAATGAACTGGATAATGAGTCTTTTCAAAAATTTTCAACTTTTTTTTAAAAAATGGATGAAATTTTTTTTACTTTAGTTTGGGTATGTTACGCACTTTTCCGACATATATGCACTCTTTGATCATAGAAAAAGAAAAAGTTGTGATAAAATTAGAATTTTTGGCAGTCAAGTAAAACTATTGTGTTGAAAAAGTTCATTTGCCAAACACAAATTGACTTGATAGTTGTGTAAAATGTGGCCGATTAATGCATATGAGAGAATTTACTCAATGTTTTGAACCAATTTCAAGTCGAGCATTCGATCGACCTGACTGGATTAAGTATTGGAAGAGTAAGGATTGCCTTGAGACACCATGTTATTCTAGCACAATGCTCATAAGATATGTGCGACGTGAGATTAATCGGTTCACTGATGTTCTCGGTTTAGAAGTTTTTGATTAAATTGACTATGATCAAGGATGCATAATTTAGGATGTGTTATCGATGCATATAGTTTTATATGTTCGTTTGATGTATTTTTATTAGAATAATTGGTGTTAATTAGTTGAATAATGAGAAATTTTCAAAGTAAATAATTTTTTGTAACTGTAGGTCCGTAATTGAAAGCTAGAAAAAAGGTGGAGACCAAGAGCCAATAGTTGAGGAGCCTGTACAAATTCCAGTGAATCAGCACTGTCCAGACATTGCTGATAACCAGTCAGGATTGCCCTATATAAAAACAGTCTGATCGCGAATAGTTAGCTTTGCAGTTCCCTTGTAGCAGAAAATTCAAAAATCAGCAACCCTCTCTGCCTTCACTCTTCAAATCTACCTCACCCACAAGTTTTTATTCAGTTTTACTTTGATCAAACACTTACCCACCCTATTTCACATGTTGTTACCGATTTAAATCTTGTAAAATCTTTCATTAATCAAGAAA